GGTGCTGGCTTAGGTCTCGGAGGTAATAACTGATGAGGGGGAAGAATTACTGACTTGAAATACTTTAGTTGGAGGTAAGAACTGGAAATAGAGGCGGGGGTGCGAGACTCCCTTCCTTTCCTCTCCCCGCCCGCACTACCACTACTTCTCACCTACCAAAACAATCCTCCCGCGACTCGGCCGAATCGGGTTTAAGTAGTTGCCCATGTGACGCTGTAAAAAATTAATTTTTCACTGCCTCACCTATTCTCATGCGCTATTTGGGCAATTTCCTTCCCTAGGCTTTTCTGCTCGACAATTACTCGCTCTTCAAATCCCGCCGTGTCTGGGAACAGTCGCTTTTCCCTGCTACCTCGCAGCATCGTGTGCTCTCTCGCCGAACATGAGATTGTTATCGCTCTTTTCATGAGTTTCATGAACTAAAGGGAAGTGGGAGGAAAGGGCGAAGGGGTAGGTGAGGATGAGGTGGTCTAGGCCTATTAGGCTCAGCGGTTCGTGATTTAGCCGGGCCTACGGAAGTCTATAAATAATTAATAAGTTACACACAACTAAAAAGACTGTTCAAGAAATAGAATATGTGCTAAATACACAGTAATGCCTTATGCTAACCAAATGCATCAGGCTGATTTTTAAGGCTTTTTTATAATCATCTTAGGCCCCCTGTCACTCACTGTGAGGCTCGAGTTGTAAAAAATATGTGGGTTGGCGAGATGAACTGTTTCAGACAAGTCTGGATGCCGATGCAACAATAACAGGGCCTACCATTAATGAATGATAACAAGCTGGGCCTGTTTCAACTGGGAATTAAAATTTGCCCCAAACCGGATCGATAATGGGGAAATTTGCGTGGTAATTGGGCCTCTATAAGCAAACTGGCAAATCAAAGGGGTGGAAAGCTAATCTCTACATATCTGTTATTTCTTCAAGCAACCTCGCATCGTACATCAAATGGTTCCAGCTCATAAAGGATTTCAATTTGCACCCAGCCGATGAGTCTAACAGCTGTCTCATTCAAATACAGCTTCAATGGTTCTGGTACGAGCATCCCTTTACCTTTAGACCTCATAAGCGTGAAAGGAAAAGAAAGGCGTCAGGGGACCCACAGAAACAAACTGCATTAGAAAAACCTTTCAAGTCGCTCTTTGCCTGTTCGCGTTTCTCGGACAAACCACAGAGTTCTTTGATTCGCTTCTCCTGCTCCGTCTCGTCCATTTTAAGTTTCTCGTAATCAGCTTGCAACTGATTTTTCGCTAGCCTCAAGTCTTGTAATGATGCCTGAAGAAAAAAAAAAACCAGACTCTATCAACCACTGCTTTCTTAACTCCTTGTCAGAAGCGCTCATTCACGGATGTTCTTGGCGAAAGAGGACAAAAAGTTCCTTCTTCTTTCAGTTTATGGACTTCTGTTTCAGAAAGCTGCACGGCTCTCGTACAAGGTCGTCAAATACCACTCACAAATACGTTGCTCAGGATGGAAGCGACTGGAATAGCTATGCCAAGTTCATATGAGAATGCATTAGCAACATCGAAGTATATCAATCATCTGTCCAGTCAAACACAGTAATGTAATCTGTTTAATTTAAAGTAATTCATGTTTAATTTGAAGTATGTTAAAGTAATTAAAGTATTTTTGTTAGAGTAATTTGACAAAATTGTTAAATGTTAAAGTAATTTGTTAAATATGTTAAAGTAATTAAAGTCCTTTGAAGAAATCTGGACCTACGCCAGGAACGTGATAACAAAACAACATGAATAAAGGAAAACGCACTAACGAGGACGCGCAATATCTCAACAACGTCAAAGAGGAGGGGACGAACCTGACCCCTCTTCTTTTTCAAGCCCCCTAATTTTTTTAAAAAAAAATGACATCCGTACACATCAAAGTATATGTTTGAAAAATCAGTATTACACTTACAGTAAGTTCCTCAATTTTACGGCTTTTCTCGGCAATTTCATCTCTCAGCGCTGCAACTTGCTTCGTGTGCTGTTCTTTTGCTTCTTCGCTGATCTGCGCCACTGCTCCACCGGCAGCCGCCAATTTCTCGTTCAGCACATCAACCTGAAAAAAACTGCTCGAACTACTGGAACTGAGATCCAAAAGTAGAATCCACAAGTGAAAAGAGAGGCCTAAACAGCAGAACTACTTCCCCGATCAGACAAGAGGACACGAATCTACCAGGGATCGAATAAGATTTACCTGCTCTTCGAGCTGACGTTTAACTTTTTCTTGAGCAGCAATTGTTTCTTGCAATGATTTATTCTTCGCCTCGTTCTGCTGCAGTTGCAATCGGCAATCAGCCAAGTCTTTCTCGGTGGCTTCCAATCTTTGCGCCACATCACCAGAACCCGACTCCAAGTTCGAAACTTTCTGAAAACATTTCAGAATTTGAGGCCAAAATTCAAGCTACTGAATGTGAACTTCGTTGTAACCAAGGCACCAAACCGATAACGAATTTATTGTTGAGAGCAAACAATTCAAGAAATATCTCGAGGTAGAATTCCCAATAAAAGTAAGCAACCTGAAGTGTAGACTTGAAGTCGGCACTCAACTTCGAAATACAGATTCGCGCATGCGCAAACAATTCCTCGTCGTACGGCTTATCAGTCCCGTTTTCCATATTAAACTGAAATTTGATCAGAGATTAAAAGAAAACATTTGACAGTAGAAAGAAAAAAAGAGACCGAAAAAAAGCACAATCGTCGAAAAAAAAGCACAATCATTGGACTGCCATAACAAAACCAAATAACAGTCACTGGACAAATAACAGCCACTGTCGAAATAACAGTCACAGTCACTGAACTGTCGAAATAACAGTCATAACAGTTACTGCCAACATTTACTAACGATAATGAATTTTTAAAGTCTGATTTTCAAATCGAAATCCCTGTAAATTCCATGTTTCGAAAATACAAAGATACGGGACTAAGAAATACTCGGGTAACAGCAAGGTATACTAACAAGGGACGAAATAAGAACCAAAAAGGTGGGGAATGAGAATTACGAAATTAGTAAAATTATTATAATGGTAAGGAATGTTTCGGCCCATTAAGTCGTATACATTTCTCATCATTACCATAACTGGACCTCGTCAGTACGACGACTGTGATGGTTGAAGTTAGTGGAAATTAAATTAGTTGGGTAACGCATTTTAATAGTAACAGAAAATATTATAGGAAATAAGCAATAATGTGATGGGAAAAGTAAGTTTCGACTGCACAGTAAAGGTTATGCAGTAGAAACTTACAGCTTAATCAACCGCTCCCTCGAATTGGCTTTCTCACTAATGAAATAAGAAAGTAAAGCAATTCGCCTCTACACTAAGCTTGCAAGTTCAGAGTTATAACTGGTAGTTATGGCTCTAATAAAGCCGTTACTTCGTGCTGTTTTATGCTTATCTTATGATGTTTTATGTTATGATGTTATGACGTTACTTATGTTTTATGCTTATGTTTTATGTTATGATACTACACCTAGCAGCTGTATAGCATCGCGAAGCCGGCTTCAAAACTTTCTTCACAATATCAAGCATATCCCAACCTTAGCTGCATTTGCATAATTGCTGCCAACTTCGGATAAGTCCCTCAGCATCGTTTGCATAGCGTCAGTGATACGCTTCTTCTGCGCAACGCAACTCTCACGTAACGTCTCCAGTTCCGCAGTTAATTCCACAATCTTTACATTTTTCTTGGACAGTTCATCCTGAAAAACTCCTCTTGCAATTAAGAGCACCAATCGACCTGCAATGAAAAATCCCAGCAATCTTAAGATGGTAATTCGCGGCTTAGCAGAGACCCCATGGGAAATGAGACTTACACCAAGCTGTTCGTTCTCTCGAGACTTCTGATCTGCCTCCTGCGTTTTCATATCGTAGTT